AGGGAGGGAGAAACGATAGTAGAGAACCTTAAATACTATTTACCTGCTGCTTTTCTTTCAGTTTACTATTAAATGAAGCATTAACATCCAGATTAAGGTTCTCTGAAAATAATTTATAATAATGTTCTTATTTTATCTGAATATGTCCTCCATTTCTGAACAAATAGGTTAGTCATCGTGATTGATGACTAGATAATGTTGGGCCAATTACAGATGCTTTTTGTTACCCTTCAATTTTATGTGACTGCATTTCTATAGTGTGCCTTTTGCTACGTGCACATACTTAGCAAAGGGTTGGGTTCTAAGAACTTAACAGGATATAAAACTAAAAATTTCACATTTAAAACAGTAATTGTTACTTGTCCATTTTTTTTTTAAAGTAATGTTTCACTGTACTTTGTCACAGAAAAAGATTTGAAATCTTATCACAGTTTGTAAAAGATTTTTCTCTTTTGCAGCTGGTTATATTCTGGGCACTAAATGAAGGCGTTTCCAGGCAGTTTGATTCATTCAGAGATGGATTTGAATCAGTCTTCCCACTCAGTCATCTTCAGTACTTCTACCCAGAAGAGGTGAGTATCTTATATCTAAAATAAATGTTCATTTCTAGTTCTGTGCCTTAATTATCTGAGTGGGGTATTTCTGTGTTATTTAGTCAAAGACTCCACTGTTGCGAACAAAAAGAGGGTTGGGAGCAAGAGGTGGATTTTTGAGAAAGATAAAGCCATTTCCTGAGCAAGGAAAAATATTAAAACATCAAATATAACATTTTATACTGTATAAATAACATATATGAACTATATAAATATTCAGTGTAGTATAAATATTAAATATAAGGGAGTGGGGTCCATGTGTGATTGAGTAAGCATAGTATCATTGTCAGCTGAGACCTGGATGCTTGATGGGGCGTGGGACTTAGGTGTCTGTACTGCTGTGGTTAGCAGGGAAAGCCATGGGTCCAGAATAATGAAACTGATACTGAGGAGGTCACACTGTCTTTATTTGTTGTTATTTTTTATTAACTACATTTTCTGGATTTGATGAGACTTGGTTTCAAGATTCAAGTTAGTCCTTGAAATTTTAAGGAAGTGTTATAAAATTATTAATTGCCAAATTCAGAGAATACTTTTGAGAATGGAAAATATGACTTTATGCATAGTTTTTCTAGCCATCTTAAAATGCAACATGAATCTCAGACTACATGAAATGTCATAGAACCAGTCTAGAAGGTGTTAGGTTTCCCCAGTTTGCAAACCTTTTTTTTCAATACTAGCTTTAGAGTACACACATTCGTTGCTGGCTGAATCTGGAAATCTTTGAATAACAGCTTTTTAATCACATTATTTTTATGTCCACTTGGGTTTGGTAGCTATTGAAGCATGTGGCATCCCTAGCACTTGAAAGCACCAAGTGTCACCTGGACTTGAAAACAGCAAGTGTTGCTCCCATATTTGAGTCCTGTTCCTCACTGCCTAGCTGTGTGACCATATCCAAGTAATTGTACCTAATCTGACTGCCTTGTCTATAAAATTAAGGATAACCTCTGTCTCACTGAACAGGATACATGAAGTACCTGACAGTGACAGGTAGTCAATACTAAATTTCATATGTCCTAAATTGGATTTTCTCAAAAGTATATACTCATTCTGCAAATGGGCAGTTAAATTAAAGAAAAGATGGTTTGATTTGAAACTGATGTTAAGATTTTCCAAGGACACAAAGGCATTTTTTGCTTTCTAACAATCATTCTGTAATGGATAGGTGGGTCCCCATATAGCCCTAAACAACTGTATGGCATAGACGTGCATCTCTTTACAAAATGTGAAAAACTACCGATTTGCTATGTCTCATTTTAACTTCTCCCACTGCTCTCCAGCTCAGTAGTCTATCTCTTGGCTTCCCTTATTGAGTACCCTTGTGATTCCAAAAGCCAGGATTTATAAAAAATCTACTTGGTTAGAAGTAGGTTATCAGGTTAAAGCTTCTAAAGAACTGAGAAGAGTTAGGAAAACTTAAATCAAGTGTTTGTTTCAGATGTTTTGTTTGAAATTAAAGGCTTCTCTAGAACTCTAAATCCCAACAAATGGGCAGAATTCCTATTAATGTACAACAGAAAGGGAAATTGAATGTGTAAATGCATTAGAAGAGCACAGTGTCTAAAGAGGTCCTAGCAGAACTCTTTGATATAAAAATGATACTCTTTCTTAATACATTCAGACCTTTTTGGCATACTATGAAACATATTGTATGCACTTCAATCTGTTATACAGCTATTATCTTGAGTAATTCTTTACCGTTATTTAAATGCACAGCTGGATCAACTCCTGTGTGGCAGTAAAGCAGACACTTGGGATACAAAGATATTGATGGAATGCTGCAGGCCAGATCACGGTTACACTCACGACAGGTGAACACTGGGGTCTGCCAGGGGTTCAATTTATAGCTTAGAATTTGGTAGTCTGTGTATGTATATATTGTAAACAATAAAAGGGGGGTATTTTCTAATTTGTCTACATATTAAAGGAGGTTTTCTGATATTTATAGTAAAACAGGGATATCTGAACAATCCCACACAAATCTTAGTTATTATAACAGTAACATTCCACTTGAATTCTAGCTATAACAGCAGAAGCAAATTTTATTTCAGGGTTCATTGTAATGTGAATTCATATGTAGTCATACTTAAATTTGACAGTCTCTAGCTAATTGTGAGAGTTGGCAATGTGTTGTGATTCAAATCTGTATTTTAATATGAAATAATAATTATTATTTCTGTTGCAGTCGGGCTGTGAAGTTTTTGTTTGAGATTCTCAGTAGTTTTGATAATGAGCAGCAGAGGTTATTTCTCCAGTTTGTGACAGGTAGCCCAAGATTGCCTGTTGGAGGTGGGTACACTGTTGATGCCTGACATTGAATCTAGCTATAACTGTGTGTGTGTGTGTGTGTGTGTGTGTGTGTGTGTGTACTTCAGTACCAATAGCAAGATATTTTTTATTTGATTTACAGTGCCTCATAGTTATTCCGGTATGGTAATGTTTCTCAATTTTTGGTTTGTGAGGTAATTCATTAACAGATATAACTGGCAGGAAAACTCGTAGAGACTTATCTTAAACACATTGAAATAGGATTACTATACACTGTAATGCTGCTTTTGACATTTGTACATTATGATCTTAGATGAGAAGGTATTCTGAAGTGTGAATGTTCAAAGTTGAGTCCTAACATACTGTTATAGGTATGAATTGGTACTCTTTTAAAAGTTAGAAGACATAAGAAACTGTTTGCCTTCATGTTATGCAATTACTTTTTATAGTAAATAAAGCAAATGCCAGGTTCCATGTGCTAAAGTTATATTGAATATGTAGGTTTAATCGCCAAGGAAGAAATAGTACCTCGTGTGTGTGGTAATATTATACAGCAAAGCAGTGTAATGTTTTCTGATAGTCGTAGCATAAAAAAGGCATGCCTATCATTCCAGTCTGACTCCTCTCATGGCTAAGAAAGTGTTCTCTAAGCTGGCTGTTTGTATCCTGTACACTTACTGAGTCCTTGGTCTCTCTTCCTTCCCTCTAAATTAGGCTTCCGGAGTTTGAACCCACCCTTGACAATTGTTCGGAAGACATTCGAATCGACAGAAAACCCAGATGACTTCTTGCCCTCCGTAATGACTTGTGTGAACTATCTTAAGTTGCCGGACTATTCAAGCCTTGAGATAATGCGGGAAAAACTGTTAATAGCCGCAAGAGAAGGGCAGCAATCATTCCATCTTTCCTGATTACACCGAGGAATGCAGTGTCTGCCTGTTACAGCAAAAGAAAACAAATCATGATTTCTTTTCTAAATGTATCACCTGAGTCAAGGAAACATGTTACTCCTTCTTGTTGTAGGAAAAACGGACACTCAATTGTTACATTTTCATTAGCCATAAGATATAATTTAAAAGTCAAAACTTGACTTATACTGTCAGTATAATTCAGCCTTTGTAATTGGGTGGACTTTTCTTAGAGCTTAGTTTTAATATAGTTGTAGGGTATTACTTGCTGGCTTCTTACCAGTGACACACTAGGAATGTTTACATGGTGATTCCAGCAGCCACAGCCCATGGAGCAGAGGCAAGGAAAGCTCATTCATTCATTTCTCTTGTGTAGGTTACAAAATGTACAGATTGGGCCGTCCAGTATGTATTATTCTATGGCCAGAGCATTTTGAATTGATGTAAAGTTTTAAAGAAAACAAGCAATTTTAATTCCCTTTTGGAGTAAAATAATTTTTTTCTCCCATGTTCTTGTTTTAAGTTTTTGTTCATAGTCTGTCTTTCTTCCACTCCTCCCCTCCCCCCTTCCCAGCGATAACTTGGGACAAACAGTTCAGCCTTTGTCTCCACACAGATAAAAGCATCTGTAAGCAATGCTCTGTCCAGTAGTTCTATGTGCTGATTTCTCAAATCTGCAATAATTCATCAGGCTAATGTTTCTACCTGAAAATAAATAATGTTTGCTTCACCTTTTTGTTTATAGTTCTGTGCTGTATGCATAATTTGTGTAGATGTATTTCTGAAGTAAATTGTTACATCTCCATGATTCCGCGTCATGGCTGATTTTGCTTTTCAAAGATTTTATAATAGCAACTTGAAGAACATAAAAATGTGAAGAGAAAATGGGAGGAGACTCCTTCCTAAGGTCAAAATTAAGCCTATTGCATAAATTTGAGAGAATTTCCATAATTCAAATTTTTTGAAAAAGAGATGAGGTCTTTTTTTTTTTAATTGAACTTTGAGAAATCAAAATTTTTTTTGTTTTACTTACTGTTCCAAAGTTTTATTTAATTGATGTAGAAACCCCTTTGTTCCCTATTCTACCACTGAGAAGGAAACAGTGGCTTGTTTTATTTTGATGACTGTCGTTTTCCACTTAAATGGCCTTACATGGAGCATCCCCTAGTGGGTGCTCATCCCCACGTGCCGCATTCTTCACATTGAGCTCGGGCAGTGACCTCTGTGAAGTGTGAGGAGCTGTAAGAGCTGCTCAGGGGCCTGTCTCCCTGGTCCCTGCAGAGGCTCTGACAGGTGAGAGCAGCTGTACCTTGACATGGGAGAAGGGGTGGCATTTCTGCAGTTGTGATAGAGCATAGGAACTAAGCCGTTTAATCAAGCAGCGCTAGGTTAACAAATGAACTGATTTGTTTTCAACTGTTCTGATAACTTTTTACAAACTAAGCACAAAGATTTTTGCGTAAACATAGCATTTTGTTTTTTTAAATCAGGGTTCTGTTGTTAACATTTAGACCTGTGTATAAACAAAGTAATGTCTCCTACTAAAATATCTGTATTTGACATTTCATGTTGTGGCACTGGCAGATTTGCCCTCATTGATTGACCGTCTAACCAGTACCTATGATGGTTTTTAATCCAGTTCTGGAGCTTGAGTGTTTAAGAGTCAGTAATTATCTGTTTAAACACTCAGTCTTTAGCCTACACTTTCCTCAGCAACCCTTGGTTAGTTAGGAAGGAGCAGGAAGACTTACCCATTGTAAAGCAGTCTCCCTTGGCAGAGGCCTTAATATTGCATTGGAGGGAAAATGTATTCTATTTCATTTGCTATTACTCCAGTTATGCCTTAAATTTATTTGCTTAGTAATCCTATCGACAAGCAGTAATTTTTAGATATCCTTTGTATGAGTAAACAGTTGGATAGTGTCCTAATATTCTGTTCTTTAATTTTGCTGAGATGGAGTCAGTCAGATGTTGGGCAGCTAACACCAAGTATGTCATGGTGTGTTCGACAGTGACTGGTTTAATGTGCTTTGTATATTTTAACTTTCTTTTTAAGAAGGAAGGGAGAGGGAGTTACATGTAATTACACCCCCATCCCCTCCCTCCCCAAAGGGAATTGTAAGGTCTAGTTAGTCTAATTGGGGACAGACATGGAGAAAGTTGTAGATACCTTAGCCTAATTTAGCAGAAACCTTAACACAGCCACGCATAAGGGTACAGATTTCTCTCTTCCTGTTCCTCAGCTCTGGTTTCCTGTGTTTATATTGATAAACTTCCTCTCACCTTCACAGTTTATAAAGAAGGTAGTACCCCAAGTCCCTCTTTTCTGCATTGAACAACACTTCAGTACAGAACTCCAGAAGGCTGTGACCAGTCACTCCAGAACTTCATTAGGGCCACCTGTGTGTGCATAAAGTCCCTAAGGCTGAGTAACGAAGCCCAACTTCTGCATATAAGAAATTAGTTTAAGTCTTGGTTTTCCACAGAAAGGATTCTCGCCAGCGAATTGGAGGTTTGTCTTCCCTCTGCTTCATCAGGTTTTGAGGCTGTGCTCTGTGCTCCCGATTTTTGTCAGTGAGTACAAACTCAGGAAATGGTGATGTCACTGATACTCCAAGGGGGGTGGGAGGGATGGGAGAGATAAGGAGACTTGCAGGGGAAAGACATGTTAGTGCATTCAGAAACCACGTCCTTTGAGGGTATTCTGGATGCTAGTGTCCATCCTCCTCTAGCAAAGATGATCAAACTTTTCATCCGTTTATCTTAGTCTGGATTTTATGACCCGTTTTTCCCTACTGTAATAAGAATGTTGTTTGGAAATGTCATACTCTGTATTTCTAACTCTCTGAGAAATGCTCTTGTATGGGTCTTAGGTCTGCCATGGCAGGAGCTGGCACACCAGCTCAAGGGTAACTAGTGTCAGATCACTGAAAATGCTTCCTTTGTTACCTCAAAAGAAAAAGATCCCAGACAGAATATAGCATTTATATTTCTAGAAAATGGAGGGTTGGCTGTTTTCCAAGAACTTGAAATTCTTGTGCAAGGAAAAGTTCTTAACTCTTAAGACTTGCCTGCATAAAGGAAACATTCTTTAATACTGGAAGAGGTGGTTTTATTTTTACAACAAGCCTACTTAAGACCAAACCTATAACTGATCTCCTGTGTAAAGCATTTTTTTCTCTCTGATCTGAAACAGTGATTTATATGAACTGTTGGAATAATGGAACCTCAAACTACAGATGTGTATGTAAAATTGCATAAATGCACTGACTTCTCCCTGGATATATTTTTAATAAACAGCGTTATCCTATATGGTCAGTTTTATTAAATCATGCACAACTAGAGGGTTCTGAGCAGTGGTATGCTTGTATGGGTGGCTTTTGGAAAGCTTCCTGTTTTGCTAAGTGCCTGTAACCTAATCAGATTATGGAAAAAGTTGTAGAAGACAAATATATTCAGAGAGATGTCCCTAACGCTTACTTGTTAGTGGAAAGGTTTATACTTGTGTATAAGATAGTCCCATGAAGTGGTGCCTTTGGGGTTGGGAGGTGCCTGTCAGTGTGCAGAGATAGTAGCAGAGCCCTAGCATTCATGACCGGCTGCTCCAGAGCAGTCTGTATCACTGGAACAGAGTGGAGTTGACTTAGGAAAGCCAGGAGGTAGATTTTTTTTTGAGTGATTATTAAATTTAGGGGTGTTTATTTGGGGTGGGGGTTACTCTTTTTAAGAGAACCAATGAAATATATACATATATATATACAGATACCCACCATACATGTATATGCATGCATACACACATATTCTAAAATAAAGAATAGTTTGTTGATTTTTAGAGAGAAGGGGTAGAGAGAAACATCAATGTGAGAGCATAACATTCATCGATCAGTTGCCTCCTGCACACCCCCTTTTGGGGATCAAGCCCACAGTCCCGGTATGTGCCCTGAGGGAAATCAAACTGGCAACCTCCTGTTGCACAGGAAGATACCCAACCAATCAAGCCACACCAGCTGGGGCCACACATACATTCTTATGTATTGTCTTGGTATAACTGCCTAAGGATAAAAGCATACTTTTCCCTCGGTCTGTAAAAGTGACTTTCACACATGAAAGGGACTGCTGAAGCCAAGCCCATATAAGATAAGCATGTACATAAAGTTTGTCTTCCTTACAATGTTGCCCATTCGTGTGGGAGCTGAAAAGCTCGTTTTTAGTTGAGGCAATGATATGAATCGATATTGGCATATGAATGGGGTATACAGAAGTTTATATGTTAGTGGCAGTTGCTGGCCAGTATTCCAGTAGAAAGCACAGTGTCCCTTGAGACTGTGCATTTGGTAGGAGGATATGTGGCCATTTAATTATAGCTATCATAACTTACATGCTTACTGTGGAACCTACAAATTCCTTCCTCTTGTCCTCGGCCAGATTAGTAACCTCAAGGTTATCTGGCCTGCGTTCCGCCCTGAACTAATACCATCCTACCTATGCAAGGAACTCCCAAGTGAGCAGGCAGGCCCCAGAAACCCCAAATCCATATTTGGACTCGAAGAATTGGCCTTGGGACTTGGGCAACCTTGATAGACAGCTAAGGTATTATATCTCAAATACTCTTGTGGCTTCATGGTCCAGGCACTTGTGGGTGATGGCACTCTGGCAATTCAGGTTTCAGGGAGAGGTTTTAGTGTCCACTATGTGACTAAGATGCATTCACTAGGGACATTAGATTAAGAATTTGTGTTATTGCCCTGCCTGTGTGGTACAGTGGTTGAACATTGACCTAAAAACCAGGAGGTCACAGTTTGATTCCCAATCAAGGCACATGTCCAGGTTGGCTGGATTCCCAGCAGGGGTGTGCAGGAGGCACCCAATCAATGAGTCTCATCATTGATGTTTCTATCCCCCCTCCCTTTCTAAAATCAATAAAAATACATTTTTGAGATTGCTATTTGCATTGACTGGTTGTTACATGGGTGGATGCCATAAAGAAGCAGGTTGTTTGAAATGATTGTCTAAAAGTGATGGGAGGAAAGTCTCATGTGCTCCGTTTGGTGTTCCCTTCTCAGTGAGGGGGTTGAGGCCTCTGTTAG